TACAAACATACAAATTCACATACACATAACACCCAGACGCGAAACAATAATCTGTGGATCATACAAAGGGTTGATCCGTGCGGGAATCGAAACCGCGACACGCTGCTCGGCAGCCGGTTGTCCTGCCACCAACCGCGCAGTCAGTTATAAATTACAACTTTAATAATCCTAACTTTTGATGAGTCGCTTTTCAAGCCCCTACAAGTGCTGGTAAGTTAAATCACTGCTTTAAACTGTCAAACACCGCGAGTACACCGGTGACCGCAACCTATTGTTCTTTAATTGTGTCTATAATGACGGTACTCAAAGAGTCAAAACGGTAAAGGTATTGTATTGACGCAAATCTATGATTAGGAAACTCACTCCAATAGAAAATTAATGAAATTTTTACAAGATATTTTTGATATTTGGAAAATAAGTTTGTATTAAATTTGATTAGCGACGTGAAACAAAACTTGCGTTGTGTTTCGTTGTGCGAGTCACGTTACCGGAGGCCTAATACACCCCCACCCCCTTCCCCCAATCTCTCGAATCCCTGAATCCCCAACAATCCTCAAATACTTAATCCCCAAACAGTCGGTAACACATTTGTAACGCCTTTGGTGTTCCAAGTGTCCATGGCGACGATTGAAAATTACTTATAGCATGCCGAATTACGATGATAGATAATGGCAGTAATTCTCACCTTATTCAATAATGATATATAATTTCTACTTTGAGACTTCTGCAAATATTATGCTTAGTATCAATCTAGACATCTCAAACGCGTAATTTTGTTGGAATATTAATATATGCGATGTCTATCCGAGTTCGAGGTAACCGCGCGATTCAACTCCTATCAATAGCAATTCTACCTTCAGAATATTATATTGTTAAAGCTTATTACTAAACAGCTGTGAAATTTATTATTAGTTTGTAAATGGCGATTTGAAGGGCAATAGAGTAGATGACTGATTTTTACCGACTTCAAAAAAGGAGGAGGTTCTATGTTCGGGTGTTTTTTTTTTGGTTCGCGCAGTACTCCGCCATTTGTGAACCGATTTCCAAAATTCTTTTTTTGTTTGAAAGGGTATACTATGACATCGACTACTTACCTATCAGTGGGTGAGTAACCTATCAGTACTAATAATAGTTATTTTCTGCTTTTTAGTTTTGACTTTTTGTTTGTTATTATTTTAATAGTCGTCTGGTTATTTATTTAAAAACATTAGACACATATTTTTTATTTTCTTACGGAAACGAATACCTAGTTTCGAAGGTATATTGATTTGAAATATCGCATGACGTCACTTTTGAGTACGATTTATACTCTAAAATAACGTAGCTACCTCCCACTCCTAAACTTTGATTCGTTTTATCTAAGTAAGTATTGTTTTCTTATACGACAAAATAACAAAATACGTGTCTAATATTTTTTCATTACCTAACTGACAGACTAATATTAGATTTTTAATTTTCATACCACGATTAATTTGTATTGATGAGAACTTTACACCTAGCTGGAGTGGGACTATCCTTAAGGGTTTAGTCGCGGAGAACCGGAGAGCTCGACGTGCAGGAGTAGGAACGGGGTGGTTTTTAGTCAGTAAGAGTCTGACACTCCCTCCCGCCTCACCCAGGCGGGAGCAGTCATTCGATGATTTTCCCCCCTTAAAAAAAAATCCTTAAGGGTCTGATGATGAAGAAGTGTAATTGTTAAGGAAACTCTTCAACGACTTACAGTAAGTACCTTGTGTTTGGGATTGTATAATTTGTATTGATTAGAACTTTGCATCCATTTGAATTATAAGTGGCAAAACGGGTCTATGTAGCTTTACACTAAAAATGAAAAAACAAAAAAATAAAAACCGACTTCAAAAAATAAACAAAAAGTAAAATAAAAACAATCTATTATTAGTAGGCAGGTTACCCACATACAGCTACTGAATCCGAAAAGAATTTGCGAAATGAGTTAAACGATCAATAAACCTGATCACAAATACCCAAAAATATTGTGTCCAAAACATCAGTGAATAGTGGATCCCTTATTTAAAACGTAGGTATAATAATTCCATATTTTCCTATCAATACCAATTTGCAGTGATTTCATTTAATTATAATTATGACAGCCATATTGAATGATAATAATGTCTATATAAAAATTATCAATGTTGTATAAAACATTCGTATAATTATGTTGCATACTTTAATAATTAATTTATATCAATTCTGTTGTGCATTTCATACCATTAATACTTACTGTGAAATTATTTCCAATATAAATAAATTATTTTCATATAATGCATACAATTTATGTCAATTATGAGCCAATATTCAGCTAAATACGTACATATGTGATATCAACTATGGAACAATATTTAGGTTAATAATACTTGGGATAATAGGTTAGATGCCAAATTCTTTTATTTTAATGTCAGTCTTGTATATTATTTTAAATCATTAGACACGTATTTTTTATTTTCTTACAGAAACGAATACTTTCGACGATATATTGATTTGAAATGTCGCGTGCCGTCACTTCTATGTACTTTTTATACGTAGAAATGACGTTTCAGCCCCCACTCCTAAACTTTGATTCGTTTTATCAAAGTATTGTTTTATTATACGCCAAAATAAAAAAATACGTGTCTAATATTTTATCATTACCTAACTTACGGACTAATTAGATTTTTTATTTTCATACCCTGTCATCATCCCAATTATTAGACCATGCACTTTATACGCAGGCTTCCGTCAATGACTATCCGAATACATGCATTTTGTATACGCGCGCGCCTCTAAGAGACATCAGACCACCACGGATAGGGTTCAAAAGGACTGGAGAAACAGGAGCCGCGGAGAAAGTGACAGGCTATGCTATAGGCTACGGCTCGACATGCAGGAGTAGGAACAGGTTTGTTTTAAGTCAATAAGAGTCTAACACTCCCTCTCGCCTCACCCGAGCGGGAGAAGTCATTGGATGATTTTCTCCTCTTATAAAAAAATACATTCTGTATAGAAACAATTAAGCACGTGTCTACGTTGCGTCACTAATACAAATCCAATTATCATCATCTATAGGTTGCATGCATTTGCCAAATGACGCGTCGTAGACATAAAGCCTTACAGGCTATTGGCGAAGATATTTTATTAAAAAAAAATGTGATTTGAGTACCGTCATTATAGACACAATTAAAGAACAGTAGGTTGCGGTCACTGGTGACCGCTTGGTGTTTGACAGTTTAACTCGTCGAGTACCATCATTATAGACACAATTATAGAACAATAGGTTGCGGTCACCGGTGACCGCTTGGTGTTTGACAGTTTAAGGTTGGAAAATCATCAAGTAGTCGTCAGGGAAGCAACTAAAGCTGCTTCGGTAATGAACAATTAATATTAAAACCATTCCAATATTTACACCCGCAAAACGCACGAGACTCAATAAACTTTGATTCTTTTTCACAGAAGTAACTATCAACCACAAAAGCCTGAGATTTCAAAACATAAAGGTTTAAAGAATTCAAAACCCCATTATAGTATTTTTGGGAATCTTTGAAGGTAGAAGAAAATTTAGTTCGTTTAATTATGAAAAGCGTGTCGAGTGTATAACCGCGCTCATTCGTTCGAAATTCGTCAGACCGTCAATACCAACCGGCAACCAATATTTCTTTGTTAGTTTGTAAATTTGAGGTTCAATAACTTTGTCATAATTATCTAGTCCACGGTTTCCCAACCTTTATTTCACTGAGCCTCCCCAATTAAAAAATAATAATCTCATTAGTTAAGTTTAAAAACATTAAAAACACATTTTTTTACAACTATATTATTTATTTGAATTAGAATAAAAAAGAATGTTCCATACAGATATTTGTAGATATTTATGTTTTAAGGATCTAATAAGAGAAGATATATGTTTAAAACCACTTGAAAACCATTAATTACTTTCACATTTAGGTAAATATGCTAGTTTTATTTTAATTATTAAACTGTCAAACACCAAGCGGTCACCGGTGACCGCAACCTATTGTTCTATAATTGTGTCTGCAAAACTGGTATTCGACGAGTTAAATACTAATGAGGTACTTGAGTTTGCATCTTCTGTACCAGCATGTCGATTCTGGATTCAGTCTTTGCTAGAGCAATGGTTAAATCGCTCTCGACGGCAAGACGATTTCGAAAAATAGTAATTAGAACGACTAGATTCTAGTCGTTCTAATTACTTTTTTTCTTAAAGTTTGCCGTTGTATTTCTCTTCTTAAAACATAAGTTTTCATCTGTTTTCTAATAATACACTAAATAAGACAAACAAAATATCTATATCATTCATAACTTTATTCAACATGTTACCGTACAAGGCAACACATCAAGCTACGATAACCAGTATAAACTGGCCGTTAAATATGGAGAAAGATCATATGAACAGAGATCATGATAAGCCGGTTTTCTATAGCTTAATTGTACTTGTCCCTACTCTCGTTCGTTTCAGAATGGCTACTGACAGCCTTTCAACAGACATGGTGGCTCCTACAGACGGAACCTTCGTTTATATTTAGCTAGAACTCGGTGTAACTAGATAATGTCCATTTTGAGAGGCTTTATGTTAATTGTGTTCTGTTTTGTAGATGTTCTGTGAGGGCTTTTAAAATTACTAGTTGGCATACATATTATTATTATCGAACTGTTAATGTATCAGTGGCACTAAAAAAACGTAGGACATTGAGAAATATTGTATTGTGTAACATTTTTTTTGTAAAACTGTTGTTTTAAAATAATAACATCTCTAGAAATGCTACTGACTATGAGTCCCTAGTTTGACTTGAAACTGATCGAAGTACAACGTCAAACAGTTGCACTAGTAAGCCGTAAAAGAATTAATAACATTTAAATTGTCTTGGTTCTTATTACATGAAATTGCGTCTTAACGATTAACATTTTGGTCTTTTTAGTCTTTATGGTCTTTTGGTCTACTGGTCTTTTAGTCTATTGGTCTTTAGTAAAAATATTCCAGAAAATCCACTCACCTGACATCTGCCATCAATGCACATGTCCAAACTGCCAGGTCTGCATCTCGTGCCGTCAGACACCCTTGCTGCCAGAACAGCTACCACCACGCGGTCTTCATCATCCAGGGACACCGTCTGCAAGAGATATTGATACTTATAAAAATGAGCTTAAGAGTTTGTGTTGCTTGGATATTGGATGGCTCATAGGTTTTTATTGATATGGGCTTGTGTGATTCAGATAAATGAATTTGTACTTAAAATAAGATATCATTTGATTTATTGTTGCTTGAAGAATCTTCTTGTAAATAAATGCCTGCATCGCATAGATTCCAATAAAATATTTAAATGGTACCTAAGTGCGTGATTTTAAGGTATTAACTTAAAATGAAGGCCATGAATAGTGAAAAGACAATTCTTTAAATACCTACTTGAAAAAAAAACAATAGTTACGAATAACAAAAAGAAATACTGAAAGATTTTGGTTCAAATAAATGTTCTTTTGTTTTTTTTTTCGTAGTTAATGGCTAGTCAGCGATTGAAATTAAAAATAAGTCGGTAAGTACTTTGTTGTAGATCCATTGTCAAAATCCAATAAATCACCTATGAAAGCGTGTAAATAGAGAACAATTCATTTATAAACTACGGTTAAAAAAAAAACAATTTCAACCCCCTCTCACTCACTGACAGACAGATGCACGGACAATTCAATTTTTGACGTATCAAAAGTGCCTAACTGTCAAACACCAAGCGGTCACCGGTGACCGCAACCTATTGTTCTATAATTGTGTCTACAAAACCGGTACTAGACGAGTTAAGTATTAATTGAAATGAATGCTTTGACTTTTTATTTGAAGTAAATTAATATACTTTAATTTAATTATAAACTTTCTCCAAAGTGCAATTAACACTTATCTGAAAACCGCATCAAAATCGGTTGAGCCAATTGCGAGATAATCGCACACAAACATACATACATACAGACACACAGATTCAAAATGAGGACCTTCTTTATTTGAAGTCATTTAAAAAATAACTATGTATCAAAAATCAAATATCACTTTACTAAACACTCAGTAAGGTTATTTTCTAAACAAATTAATGTTGTGAAACCTAAGCGCTCAAAAGGTCAGGTTCTGTCTTGAATACTAAGGTTCTCCTCTAACCTAGTTACAATTTAGTCTCGCAGTCTCAAAAACTTTATTTTTGAAACTTTCTTTTGATACTAGACTGGCATTTTAAAGTTGTTCTCAGCTTAGCATTATGTGTTTCAAGTTTCATCGTATGGAGATGGGAGATTCTATTCGGACAACTTCTATTTCAGAAGTGGTAGTATAAATGTTATGCATCCTATTTCTGGGCTGTTGTCAACCTAGTTTGGTAAGGAGGTTATCATATAGACAGACATGGAGTTTTTATTTACCTATTATAGGATTTCAGGGTAGGACGTTGAAAAGCGAACGTTATGTCACTGAGAAATTATTGAGGCAACAACATGTCAGTGGTGTATTTCTGTGTGCGTGCACTTACAACACAGTAATGTATGAAGTGTAATGACGAGCCATCGGGCCATGTAACGCGACAGATGTCCTTCGTGGCAATGTGTGTGTATTCTGCGTGTAAGTCTATAGTAGTCAGGTGCCACAGTCGTTGTTTCTAGAGATGTCCGCCTTTATTTTAACATCCTTGGTTTTAGGTATGATGGGAGTGCTGATCTTGCTCATAGAAGGAAGCGTTGAGGAAGTAATTGCCTTGGCGCTTAGCGCCTGCTTTAGCTTTGCAGGTGATCTTTGGGTCTTCGGGCGCTTAGACCTGGACGTCCATCCAATGGTCTCAGAGGAGTTAGTGGTCACGTCCTATCATACATATCGAGGCTCAAGCAGGGATAAGCAAGCCCCTTACAATGGATAAGAGGTATGGCTTTGTAGAACCTTTGGAGCTAGTCTTTTTAGAAGCCTCGGTACTTTCTTATATGCGCTGATTGCCAACAGAGTGATTTTAATGAAGGATAAGCCCATACTTCCTAGTCTTTCTTCATAAAATCTATTTGAATTTTTAAAGTCGGAAAGATAATTACATATTGTGAGAGATCTCTCAATACTTACAGGTTCAGGGCTCTGCCCCGAGTGCTGTGGCGTGCCCCTGCAGGTGAGCGCGCAGGGTTCAGCATCATCACGGTGAGCTCGCCAGTGGAACAGCTCTCCACCATAGGGGGTGTCATCGTGAGCGCTGCATTGCTGCTCTCGCCATATGTCCTCTTCTAGTAGGGATACATTGCCGCGGCATGGCTGTTGAAGAATAGAACATTTTACAGTTATAATCAGAAGGTATTTTGAATTAACATAACATTATTAGTATTTATTTATTACTATCAACAAAAAGGACACAAATGTTCATATTGACTACATGAGGGTAAGTGATTAATGCGACGTTTAGACACTCTCAACGCCTAAGGTGTTACAAGTCCAATTCCCATTGATGGTCTTTTACTGAAGAACGTTCTTGTCTTGAAGGTTTCATTATTTAATTATTTTTTCAGTACGAAGAATTGTTTCATTCGGAACGAACAATCCATTTATAACCTTCAATACTTCCACATAAACCATTCCACCCCAAAATACAGGAAAATACACTTATAGCAAAGTAACCAAAATAAACATCATTGCAATTCAGCGCCTATTTCTAAGAGCATAAAGTTCTTTATGACATTGTTAAGCCTTGAGCGTTAAATCCGTGCTATTAACACATAAACCTTAGGTCACACGCCACAAAGTAATTCAACTTGAGGTACCAATCGTTATATTTATTGTAACTATTATAGTTCCGATTATCAACTCATTATTGCTAGTAGGACCACAACAGAAGAATAAATATTGACCACTTTAGTGGTTTTTTGGAAAGAGATTAGATCGATTAATGTGATGGAACCTTAAAAAGTAAAATTACATAACATAACATCACGCCTTTTATCCCCGAAAAGGTAGGCAGAGGTACACATTACGGCACTTAATGCCACTGTACAATGTAACACCCACTGTTCACTATTTATGTTACGAGTTTCATGTAATAGTGGGTGAGCCTATTGCCATGTAAGTACGGGGCACAATTCCAGACTCCGTGCTACTACGGAGATTTTTTTTAAAAATCCCCTAAGACTTTGCCCTACCCAGGAAAATTACCCCACTCGCCTAATGAGGCAGTCAGTCATTAGTAACTTACCTCTACATAAATAAAAATATCTATTCGCGGAAATAAAAAACTGTTATATTTTCATTGCATTCGATATCAAAATCAATATTATACTGCAGTCAATAGACCGTAATGCAAGTATTAATAAAAATAGTCGCCATTTTTTAATTGCAGTCAAAAATATTACCTTGAAACACGCACCGACCGTTTATTTACACACAAATAGAACGCAATGAATCGTTTAAATTTATATTTGATTCCAGGAATAGCGAACGGAACTAGTATTTATTTAAAATGGGTTATTTTAGTTTTTTATAAAAAAAAAACAACGTAACATCACGCCTTTTATGCCCAAAAGGATTTTTTTAACCCCTCGAGCGTCCTTATGAGCACCCGGTGGATCATAAGAAAAAATGCTCCATGCTGCTTTCTCTTTTATAAAATCTTTTATTAATGTTTTGTTTTTATTTTGACTGTATTTGTTTTATTTCTATTGTAATGATCCTTGTTTTCGTGAGCCAATGGCCAAATAAATGCATTTTCTTGCATGCATAAGGATAAGGAAATGCATAAGGAACGCGGACGCTCGACGGGATAAGAGGGGAAAACCATCGAATGGCTGCTCCCGCCTGGGTGAGGCGGGAGGAGCGTCAAGTGTCAGACTCTTATTGACTAAAAACCACCTCGTTCCTTCTTCTTCGCTTCGAGCCGGAGCCCCGGTAACTCGTTAGGTTCTCCGCGATCACCGAAGGGATAGGCAGAGGTGCTCATTACGACAGGTAATGCCACTATACAATGTAACACCCACTTTTTACTATTTATGTTATGAGTCCCATGTAATAGGGGGTGTGCCTATTGCCATATACCGGTCATAATTCCAGACTCCATGCTCCTACTGAAAATAAAACCCCCAAAGAGACCCCTTGCCCGGCAGTCGCACTTGTGACTACTCGACCAAAGTTGATAAACGTACATACCTACGTTCCCGTGGTATGAAAAGTAGCCTATGTGTTTTCCCAGACAATAATCTACGCCTAATCCAAATTTTATACCGATCCCTTCAGCTGTTTTGGCGTGAAGGTTTAACAAACCATTAATAAGATTAGTAGGATACTCAGTATATCTATCATTACAGGCACAATTCTGCCTAGCTTTCATTGAGATCAAAGGTACAATACTAAACCTTATGTAGGTAAAACATATAATAGAATACTACCTATTATTACAGAATTAGGTTACAGAGGATGGAATACGTTTTGTTTGCTATCGCTGACGAAAATCTAGAGCACGTATATTATCGGACTGGAAGGCGGAGCGGGCGACTTAAGGCTGGGATCACGTTCCGATATTTGCGGATATCTTCGGATACTTTGTTATATTAAAGTGCAGTGTTATTGTAAACTAGTGGTTGGAATGCAATGTTGGTAATGTTTTTTTTTTATAGGATACGAATCATCAGAGGCGATACAAGTGCATTACCGGCTTCTTGGGGATTAGGAATTTGAGGAATGTTGGGCAATAAGGGAGTGTTGTGTTAAGGGAATTTAAGAGGATTTGAGACGGAGGGGAGTTGGGCCTCAGGTAACATCAGTCATACGATACATAACGATACACAACGTAAGCGTTGTTTCACGTCGGTTTCCGGTGGTCTCTCCGTCACTCCGGTCGAGCCGACCCGTGCCGAAGCATGGCTCTCCAACACTTAGACTAACTAACTAACATACATTATTATACACATCACGCCTTTTATCCCCGAAGAGGCAGAGGTGCACATTACGGCACTTAATGCCACTGTAGAGGTACAATGTAACACCCATATTTCAGTATCTATGTTATGCGTCCCATGTAATAGGGGGTGAACCTATTACTATATACCGGGCACAATTCCTGACTCCGTGCTACTACTGGGATGTGTAATATTGATGTAATGTACGAGTACACACGGCCACACATCAATCTATACAAAACCAGTTTATCCTGGTGTTGCGTCGCATCATCTTTCCACACATCTAACGTTCAGTTTATACTGGTTATGTAAAGCTTGATGTGTAGCCGTGTGTACCTATATTATTACTGTAAATTTAAATAAGAATGTCGAAATAAAACCGGTATTAATGGTATATGGTATGCATTATGCAATTTTAATAACTGTAACTATTCGTGAAATTCTCTTTTAATTATATTTACCAATTTGGTATTTGATGTATGTACATTATTATTACGGATATTATCCGTAAAATATTCAAGTTTTAAATCAAAATTAAATGGTATGTATCGATTTTCCGACAATTCTATTATGATGTAAATTCCTCTGATTGAAATGTTTATTAAATTACATGCATGTTTTAATTACGGTAACTGAAAACGTAATAAAGGTTTTTTTTATAGGACAAACTCGCCCAACCTCCCAAAACCGCTGCAACTCCTTTAAGCCAGGATCCAACCATGAAAACACCGGCGCGTCCGGCGCGTCCCAGGAACATGAGTCTCACTCTCACGTCTTGGTTCCCGCAACGAAGTGAATCAGAAGATATTATAAGAGGAGAAGTAGAAAAAACTATAGTTTCCACTTCCCTCGGTGAATTACTGCAGGAGACAGAGTGATAAAGGCTTGCATAAAGTATTAATTGCATCGGCATAGGTACTAATGATGTTAACGAATGTGTGTAATAAAATTAAGAAACATGAAATTATATATTCCGTTCCTTAATACATCACTACATATTATAAAACAAAGTCGCTATCCGCCGTCTGTCTGTCCCTATGTATGTTTTAATAGCTATAGTGATTTTTAAGGAATTTTTATCTTTATATATATAATTCTTCTGTGAGTGTGTATGTCACTGAACTTCTCTCAAACGACTAGACCGATTTTGATGAAATTTTTTGAGTGTGTTCAAGAGGATCTGGGAATGGTTTAGATTTACAAATAAGCCCGGCAGATGGCGCTGCAGTCGATGTTCAGATTATTTATCCTAAACAGCTGAACTAATTTGAATTAATTTTTGTTTATAAATTCAAGTGGATATGCAGGACAACGTCTGTTGGGCCCGCTAGTATGTATGTATAATACATGCATATTGCACCCGTGCGAAGCCGGAGCGGGTTGCTAGTTACTAATAAAAAAAAACAGCAACTAGTATAATCTCGGATATTCGGATATGCAAGACACATCACTACCACAAAGCGAAGAAGCTCATTTCAAATGTCAAAGGTACAGTACGAACTGAAAATGATTATTCATAGAACCTCATGTTTTTGTACTTGTAATTAAATAAGTTGATTTTGACTGTGTTTTAACGATGGAGTAGAACTCGTTTATCACAACCCCATCTCTTCCTATGGTATCTCTGTTAACTATGGGATTTAAGACTCGATGAACTTGAACTTTTAAACTGCTATTTCCAGCCAGCCTGCCACGACTGGAGATTATAGTAACTCTCTTATGTTCATAGCTCACCACTGGACTGTTATGAGCTGTTGAAGTTGAATATGAAATTGAAGAATGAACGAAAAATAAACCAATTGATCAATAAACTTCTTCGAGGTGCTAAGTAGGTACATTTAAAATTCTCAATCCACGATACATCATAAATATTTTACCCCACAATTGAAAAAAATAAAAAAGTTAAAAGCCTAACCCCCATTCAAGAGGCTGCCACTCACACCGCAGCGTAATTTGCATTCACTGAAAAGGATATTGTAGTCCATCCACTCACGAACTTAATCGGCTCTTCTTCAGAAAGGGCGAGAGGCACGCGTTTAGAATGATAATGAGTTGCTCGCCTCGGTATTATTGACTCCCGGCGTTTTTAAATCTGATTGGTCGCTTTTCGACGTTCTTTTTTCAAGATAATTCTCTGTCTGGAGTTTTTAGCTTTTGTTTGTTTCTTTTTATCTTGTTAGGGAAATCGAATTTATAGGAATAAATGTATTATGTATATTGGAATAGAACTCAATTCTGTTTAGACGATGCAAATTCTGTACGTGTATTCTGATTTTTCGAATGTCTGGTAAATAAAATTAAATTGTGAACGAGATTGGGTTGTATTGTCTTTCATACATAAAGCGTTTCGATAGGTATATTAAAATATTATAA